CTGTTGAATGTCCTACTCGGTTCGGATTTTTTGGTATTGGGCTTGAAAACGTTTTTGTTATTTCGGATATATATTCCTATTGTTTTCAGAGTTCAACCAGTAGCTAAGCTTGATTTGATTTCTCTGTAACGGACATAGTAGTATGATCCCCGGTGGGGGGCAAACTTTTTGTAGCTTAGTCTCAGTTATTGGATTAGGTTGTAGATGTCCACAAAGAACAATTTTCAAAGGTCATATTTTACTTTTCCTGTTGATATGTGTCTTGAAAATCTTATTTCTCTAAAATTATGTAGTTTTAATCTTAAAAGTCCAACTGGTGGATAGGATTAGCTTGAATTCTCTGTTGAGGCAAGGTTGGAGGGATGGGGGAAGTCAGGTCTTCTCCTTTCAAGGGTGTGCGTTTTTCAATGCCCTCGTATCTACATTTGTATGAATCATGTTGCAGCTTGTCCTCTATTGGGCTCAGTTCACGGTACTGTTTGGTGTGTTAAGCCCAAATTTTTTTATTGGCTCCCTTGCTTGATAAGGGATCAAACGCTAGGAATACGAGGTCTGTTTTCTTAGATGTCGGATCTTATTGTCCCCGACAAAGGTTTACGTATGTGCTGTTTTGGATTCATGATATTTCGCCCGTATGAAGAAGCGATAGTTAACGGATCCTCTAATATTTAGTGTTTACATAGAGTGCGTTCAACGTTCATACACACTCGAATATAAACATTCGAACGTGGGAGTATACTTCAACATTTTCAAGACTTAGACAGAGAGGTACAAGAGTAGAGAGGGGGGGTCGATTTATTGTTTTCAATGGATTCACCACTTCAAAATGTTCAAAACATTCATCAATTTTATGAGGATTCGATTCAACATTTTCGGCGGATTAGCTACTTCAGAACATTCAAAATCTTCAGCGTTTTTACAAGTTGAGAGGGGGGGGGGGGACAATGAATATTTTGAAGGTTTCCCAAGTGGCAAATCCATTGAAAATGTTGCAGTACACCCCCCCTTAAAGAAACAAAACAGTGGTGGGGGGGGTGAATTTTCATCGTGTTCGCCACTTCAAGATTTTTAAAATCTTCACCGTTACTACACACTCCGAAAAGGGGGTTGTACATCAGCATTTGCAATGGATTCACCACTTGAAAGTACTCAAAATGTTTAGCGTTCCTACACACTCGGACAGGGGGGGCGAATGCTGAATATTCTAAAGGTTTTTAAGTGGTAAACCCACTTGAAATGTTGAAGTACACCCTCCTCTAAAGAAACAAAACAGGGGGGGGGAGGGAGGGGGGGAGGCAAGGGGGGAGGGGGGGTTCAAAATTTTTAGCGTCTTCACCACTTCAAAATTTTCAGAATCTTCAGCATTCCGACACACTCGAACAAGGGGGATGCACTTCAACATTTTCAATGGATTAACCACTTCAAAGTCTTCAAAATGTTCGGCCCTTATATGCACTCAGACAGGGAGGTCGAACGTTGAACATCTTAAAGATTCATTTAACGTTACCCAAAGTAAACGCATTTATCATTTTCAACGCTTCTTAAATCACACAAACTCGACTTCGAAGAACTTAAAAAATGTTAAAGTGTTTCCACTTCAAAATTAGTTTCAGCGAAGATTTAGAGTGTCGCTGACTACATGTGGTATCGGGTACTATTATGGCACTATTCATTCCAACCTTGGAATGAGTTCTTTAAACGTTTCATCGCTCTCTTTTACTCCGACGTATATCTATCCTTCTGACTTTGAGGTTCTCCTCTTGTACTCGGTAGTAGCATTGTATGCACCGGTCTAGGTACCACTCTCTCTCTTACGCTACACGGTTTCCATCGCATGCTACGACCAAGGTCCCGCTATCTCTCTTGTGCTGTGACGCCCAACCTCACGCCCAACGCGACTTCTTGATCGGAGTGGGATGGGGGCTTGGAAGTGCGAAAAGGGGTGTGCCAAGGATTTTTCTGGAAAGTGGGGAAGTCTCAGGGGTGTGAATGCAATTAGGCGAAAAAGGGGTGCGTGCGCAAGGGACTCAAGGCCTGATGGGGCCTGGGTACTGTGGGCGACGGCTAACGGGGAAGTCCCTCCGCGGAGGAGGTAGTCCTGAAAAGTTGGGCCGTCGAGGGCCGCCACGCGGCGCAGGCCGCTGCGTGCTTGGGTTGGGCCTTCGGAATTCCGGGGTTCTTCGTTCGCCGCCACGTCGGCAATTTTCGCAGGGCGTGTTGGGCCAATAGGGGGCTATGGCTGGCCACAGAACGACGTTGAGTTGATGATACGGGAGAAGAAGGCGAAAAGGAGGGAGACTGGTGGTGATGACGACAAACCCCGGGTGGATGAAGTAGTAGGTGCGGTCAGGAGAAGGGAAATCAGAGCATCGGAGATCGCTAGAGGTGGCGCAATGGAACCCCCGAGGACACAGTCGATTCTCGGGGTGGCAGGGGTATCTCTGTCGGAGGAGTTCGTTTATCAAGGGGGTGAAGTAGTCTGGGTCGTAGGATGAGTCGGAATCCCAGGATCGCGTCATCATGACATTGCGAGTTATGAGTTTCCTAAGGGCGGATCACGGTCGTTGCGTGCGAGCACGTGCAGGCCGTGTGACTATCGTCGGACCTAGGCGTGCTTGTACAGAACGATTGCATCGTTGCGGATTTCGGGATGACCGCTCTCAATCGGACGGATTGATGGACCCATTGAGTCGACACACGGGGATATGTGTAAGTGCGCAACTTGGATCGCGTCTTACATGTGTCCTCGCGCGGCGTTCATCGAGCCCAGGATCCGACCGCCTAATCACTTCGTGATGTCTGAGTTATGCAATATGCAATGATCACAAACAGCTTGATCACAAAAACGAGCAGAGACAAGGACAGGATTATCGATTGCGCAAAATCCCTATCCCACACACGAGTGTGTCGAATGCGACCAACAAAGCAAAGACAAGGGTTTCTCAGCAAAAAGATAGACAATCAAACATGGCATCTATACATCCATCCATTCCCTAATCATACACATAGCACATCAAAGAGGGGAAAGTCGCGAGGGCAAATGTAAGCAAAAACCCCAGGTTCAAATTTCAAGAAATTGAAAAGAACGGGCAAGCTGCCCGGAGCCGAAATCAAAAGTTATGTAGAAAAGACAAGAGGGAGAAAAGATAGAAGAAACATCAAAACCGCATCCATCAACCTCAACTCTCTCTCTCTCTCTCTTCTTCTCCGATGTGGACAGTCCGTCGTCGCGCACCGACCCACAAAGTCGTCACCCCGCTTAGTCCTTCCGCACCCGTCAAGTTCGCCCGCGCCCACAGTCCGTCGTGGCCCGCGTCAACCCCGCGTGTTCGGCACCAGCCCGTCGGGTCGCCCAACTCCTGCTCTACTCACCTCTTACTTCGCTCGTGTGCCGACCCTTCCTGATCGCGCAACACCGAGCTTCCAATAGCTGATTAAGAGAGCTAACTAATCGCGCAGCCAAAATTTATAGCGTGCATGCATCCGCGAAGAGCACGAAATTACCAAGACTGAGAGGCGAGATTAGAGAGGGAGTGCCTACGTTCTGCATGACCGGGCCGCGACGTGGGGGACGTAGCCACTCTCCACGCATCGATCTGAGCATGTAGTCCGTAGTTTCAAAAACGCAGCAAAAGAAAGAGTACAAGGGTGGGAAGGACGAAGAGCAAGAAGAAAGATACAGTTACAATGACGCCAATCCAAGATTACAGTTATACTCCCGATTAAAGGCGTCGACTAATCATAATTCCGTTGCAGCCGCAAAAAGAAGCGCGTAAGCAAATAAGGGCGCCGCGCGGCAAGAGAAAGTCCTAATTACAAAATTCCTAAATTCGTAACTAATGCGAAAAGCAAAAGTACAGGTTCCGGGAGGAAAGTCTGAAATTTCGAGAGCCATCAGGGCTCGACAAAATTCGAAAAAGATTTGAAAGTTAAATTCAAAAAGAACAGTGCAAATTCCCCCGCGATGTCCCCGCCCAAAAGATCGAAAGCGAAGCGAAAGAAACGATGTCATTATTTATTAATCGTGCGCATGGAGCCGCGCCAACCATCCAGCCGACCAATCAATCAACCGGTCATCCCAGGATACGCCCAGCTCCGAACCCAGCCATTCGAAAAGAAGCGACGGAAAAGACGAAAAAGCAAGGACACTGATGCAATTTCCCACCGATCCCGATCTCCCGTAATTGGCCCAACCTTCCCAGCTTAAAACCCCTCGTTGCAACCGCGCAGAAAGTCGCGCGTTACAGAAAGTGGTTCGTCACATATGTGACGCCCAAGGGGTTCCAATATTAGCAAGCTCCTGCTTGCTTGTTGACACGTGTCGATTTCTCTAATAGATCGGCACGCGGAGCATCTCTCTTCATGCCACTTACCGTTCAATTGAGTGTGGACGTCACCCACATGGCAAGACTGCTCTTCTACTAATTCCTCAGGGTGGGCTTTCGACACTCCAAGGAGGGGGATTACACGTGCCACTGTTATGACACGTGTCCATTAGCCATGCATCAGTGCAGCAGGAGGGTAGACCCTAGACCCTAGACCCTAGACGCTCCTGGGGAATGGCAGTCGAATCACTGAAGGTCGAGGTGGCGGATGGTTCAGGGGAAGAGGGGGCATGAATCGATTGATGGCGGGAGAGGCGAAATCAGGAAGGGTAGCGTAATGGAAGGAGCGATGGATGCAGGGGAAGCGAGGGACCTCATGGAGATGGCGAAAAGCGGCAATGTAGTCAGGGTAAATGATGGAAAGGGTCCGTCGCAGAGCGCCGCGAAAATCTTCGTAGTTTCCGCAGGCGGGAATAGTTCCAGATATAATACAATATATTTCTACGTGGTTATATCCCCGCCAGTTTGCGCTAAACAGGAGCACATGAAGGAGAAAGGAATCAACTACAGAACGGGTGGTGGCATGCGGATAAACGGAGCCTAGAAGGTGGGTAGCGTAGAGATGGTAGAAAAGGTGATGGGGGAAAGGACACCAACCATCGGGGAACGGAGGTCTATCGGGAAGACGGGTAAGCATGAGGTAGTCACGGGGTCGGCGAGAGAACGACCGGGGACGACGCCCGAACGCCGAGATCTTGATGTAAACGAATGGAGGATCGGGACGGGGAGCCGGAGGGAACTGGCGATTCACTTCTTCTTCTTCTGCTTCGTGATCCCTCTGCTGCGGTTCCATCGTCCTCTTCTTCTGGTGGCTCCGTATCACGCCACAGGTCCCCGATCGATGGATCATTTGTCGCGGGTCGTTTTCCCTCCGCGGTCTCCTGGCGCCCTCGTTTTCTGTGCTCTTGCGCTCTTTCTCGATCCGTGTCGCGCACTTCAACCTCGAATCCTTCGTACTCCGACTCCGCTTGCTCGTTTCCTTCTTCTTCTTCCTCGTCCCGCGGTCGGCTCGATTCGTCGGCTATCCCTGCTTCGCTTTCCGGTACGTAGTCTGAATCGTCTCGTTCTTCGCTCGATTGCTTTTCCTCTTCCTCCTCTTTGTCTGCTCCCCCTATCTCCTCGTCCTGCGCCGCGTTTTGCCTCACAATCGGGTCCCAAAATGTGAGATCGGTAACGTCGATCTCCAGGTAGGGAGCCTGGGAAGGATAGAGACAGTTGTCCTTGTCAATCTCCGTACACGTGGACCACACAAGGTGCGGCTCGAGTGTTCAAGACACCACGTGGGTGCCGGGCGGCTTGTCACTGTGCGACAAGATGTCCAGGGGCAGATCGTCCACCAGCTGAGTCAGAAATACCAGCAATTCGTCCGTGATCAAGGCGAGATTACCTTCCTCCACCTTTCCGAATACAATTCCCAGCAGGTCACCTTGCTCCGCCGTTCTCCAGGCTTGGATGATCAAAAGCTCCACGTTGTCCTCTGGGTGCTCTGGACCTTCTCCGAACGGGGCCGCTTCTGACCAACGGAACTCTATCTCCAATAGACAGAAAGCGAGTTCGATATAGTCTTCCCACCACGTGTCCCACTTTTCCTCACTCAATAGCGGCGCACTGTTTTCCTTCACACGGTAGGAGAGAGTAGGAGCTCGCGCAGACTGCCAAAGGGTGGGGATGCTGGAGGGGAGGCCGAAGTAGGAGACGCGACGATGACTCATTGGGGCGGCGCGAAGGGACAAAGCTCCGGGAGCACGATCGCTGGCGAGCTTCGAGACGAGCGGAGTTGGAGGTCTGTGTCATGCGCCGGCACGACGGTGTCTCCTCACCAAGCCAGGAGATCGGTCCACGCTGTCCGCACTTCCTCAACCCAGATGCGCAACGTCCGATAGATGTTGGAGTGAATCTTCGACGGAATCGCGGTGATGTCTCCTGAAAAGACGACGACGACGGCGATATGGCTAATCCCGGGAGGGGATAGCCGTCGAAAGGCCGAGATCTCGGCCAGAATGCACGTAGTTGCTTCTTCTGTGAATTGGAACTCTGCCGCTGCGTAGATTGTCGACGTACTGAAGAAAGCTGCAAACCGGAGGAGATCAGAGTAGAGATGGGGCCGCTGCACCTGCCGTATGAGGCTGATTCGCCCCCGCGGAGTAAGAAGCCGCGCGCCGATCACTTGCTCCGTTGCAAAGCTCATGGCGATGGTAACGGGGTAAGAGAGAGAGAACATGAAGGAGACGGAGAGATAGGAGAGAGTTAGTCGTCACCTTCCTCCGCAGTGGAGGAGGAATCGGGTGAATGCGAAGATGGAGAGGGAGGAAGGGGGCGGAGGTAGGACATGTGGCGGATGATCGGGCGAGCCGATCGGCTGCCGGAGACCTCAGGCGCAAGCCACACGGTGTTCACGCCGTTCGGTCCGAGTTCGACTACGCGAAATCGCCCGAAGAATCGTGGCGCTAGCTTACCCTGGCGAGCACATTTCCTCACCTGCACGATATCCCCCAATTTGTACTGGGGCCGTGGTCCTGCGTTCCCATTCCGAGCCTCGTAGCTTCGGACCTGTCGGCCTTGGGCCAATTCGGTCATCCTGTGCCGTTTTCGGGCTAGCCTGGGCAAAGGCCGTTCCATTAGTTCCAAGTGTCGTTTGGCCTTGTCCCGAGCCGTGGCCCTGGTGGGTCGTCGGTTCAGTGTGGATTCATCCGGTAGGCTTGGTATCGAAACGCAAGCGACGCTATTGGTCCTCAATTGGAAGGGGCTTAGCCCCATCGATTCATGAGGTGTACCGCGATGGACCGCTATGATGTGGTCGACGATATCGGGCCAGGGCCTCGGATCTCGTGCCACGATATTCCGCCGCAATGCCGTCTTTATCACCATGTTCTCGTTTTCCACCAGCCCATTGGATTGCGACATGTGGGGTGCAGTATTCCGTATGGCGACGCCATGTAAGACCAGATTCCTTAGCACTTCTCCCCTGAATTCAGCCCCATTGTCGGTCAGGATCTCTTCCGTATCCTGGTGCATCCCGAGAAAGCGGTTGACGTATCGCGCGATTTCAGCGGCTTGTCACGTGCGACAAGGGTAGGCTTCGATCCATTTCGAAAAATGGTCGACAAATACCAATAGGACTGAATACTCACAACTATTAGGACCAGGGGGCACCACTATGTCGGTAGTGTCCATACTTACTCTTTGAAATGGCCGTTCAACTACCGTTGGTACTATTGATCTTGGCGGCTAAATCGGCGCCTTATCAGCGGCGCAGACTTGACAGTTGGCGACGATGTACTTTACATCGTCGCGGATATTGAACCACTACCACTCATTTTTGTCGATAGCCGACTCTGTGATCCGTACGGCGAAATGAGCCACAGTTTCTTCATGTGTCGTCTTAACCTAGTCATACCTTATGAACGGATGCGGTACAACCATCCAAATCCCACTGCCGTCAGTTTTTCGTTTTTCTAATCTGCCCTCTATCCGTCTGTAATCGCGAGCCCTCTCGTTGGCCCTCCTCCGATCTTCCTTGGTGAAATCCTGGAGGGGGTTGCCAACCAGGGTGGCAATCAAGGCGATATCAGTCCATACTTCGGCCCTTCTAAACCTTTGGGTCTTTTCCAACCCTTCTAACGTGGCATCCAAAAAGCGAGCCTCGGTCGGAATCTTGTCGGTCCGACACAAGAGGCACAACCACGGTTTACTATCGTTTCTGTATTGGATGCACGAGCCATGGGCTCGTGCGACACACTGTCGACAATCTATCCAGTCCGCATACCCTTCCCCGTTAGGATGCATGGAAACCGAGTACACGCGGGAGATAGCTTTGCAAAAATAGCAAAATTTGTCAGGCAGGGAGAGGAGCGACGAGGAGGAAAGGGGAGAAAGAGGGGTAGTGGGGTTACCTCCGTCATCCATTGCCACCGTTCTGCTTCTTGCCACGTGGGAGAACTGCCACTTGTCCGTACTTAGGTTTGTTTGTCAATTCCGACTCCGTCCACGGTGTAATTTCCTCGCCCTTTGGTACTTTAGCCGGTCGATGCAGACGCGTCAGTCCGTCCGCGTTGCCGTGTCGCTCTGTCTTTCGATGGACGATATCGAAGTCATATTCCTGTAGTCGTACCGCCCAACGACCAATCATGCCCGTGTAATTAGTAAGTTTCTTCAACGCCTGCAAAGGTTCGTGATCTGTTACGAGGCGGAACTTCTGTCCGTAGAGATACGGATGAAAGTGCTAGATTCCCCAGACCACTGCATAGCATTCGCCTTGAGGTGCTGAGTCATTCCTCCGTTCGTCCGGTACCATGCCTGACGCGTATTCGATGACGTGTTCACGACCATCATTCCCCTTCTGCGCTAAAATAGCGGAGATAGCTTCCGGTTGTCAGTCCGTGATGAGAATGAACTGTTTCGAGGGGTCCGGTCGAATCAAAATAGGGGCTGTCGCCAGAGCGTCCTTGAGGGTTGCGAAAGCCTGTTGGCACTCCGCGTCCCAGCTGAGAGGCTGGTCCTTCCTTAGCAGGTTCGTTAGTGGCCGTGTAATCGCGGCAAAACCCTTGATGAAGCGACGATAGTACGATGCCAACCCTAAAAAGGCTCGAACCTGCGTCAGCGACGTGGGAACTGGGGCTTCTCTTACCGCCGCAACCTTTCTTGAGTTCGGCCGCAGTCCTCCACGTGTCACGACATAGCCCAAGAACAAAATTTCTAAAAGGGAAAATTTGCTCTTTTTGAGCGCGATCTTGAACCCAGCGTCTCTCAGCGCTCCCAATGTCCACTCAATGTGTTGCGCGTGTCCGTGATAGGTCTCTGAGTAGACAAGGATATCGTCCATGTATACTATCACGCAGAAGTTGATCATCCCCTGTGTCAGCCGCGTCTTGTTGACGAAGTTTCGGAATGTCATGTTCATCGCTCGCTGAAACGTGGCAGGCGCGTTGCAAATCCCCATCGGACACCGAACCCACTGCCACGTGCCTTCAAACAACACGAAGGCCGTCTTCGGCCGATCTTCCTCCTTCACCAGAATGTGATGGAAGCCATGCCGAATATCAAACTTACTGAAATATTTAGCGCAGCCAATCGCATCCAACAAATCATCAACTCGGGGGAGGGGGTACACATCTTTGATCGTGATCTCATTCAGCTTGCGATAATCGATGCATATGCGGATTGATCCGTTTTTCTTTGGCACTAGTACGACGGGAAATGACCATGGTCCGGTGGTGGGTTCAATCCATCCGCAGGCTTCAAATTCTCGAATTCGTTCGAGGGCCTTTTTGCGTTCTATCAGGGAGTATCGGTACGGTTTACAATGGATCGGGGAGTGATTTCCCGTTTGTATTTCGTGTTGAATAACTAGCGACAGGCCAATGTCAGTGTCTGTCACGCTAATCGCTCCCCGATATTCCGTCAAAATGTTTGCAATCACCCGATGAATTTCATTGGGTACGTACTGTGGCACGTGTAACTCAAAAAGTTGATCCCAAATCCGTACATCTATCTGTTTTGTGTGTGTAGGTTTCGCCACATCGGGCGGGGTGAGAAATGAAGGAGTGATCCGATCGCCAAGAGAACACCGTGGCCATCATCTGGGCATCTTCTTCCCGGATTGCCACGTGTCCTTCGGGGGTAATCCCGTCACAAGTATCCTGCCATGACACGTTCTTAGTTGCGATCTTTATCCCCAGTTCGTCCGTTTCTGCTTCGAGACGCCCAGGGGGTTCCAGAGAACTTGCTTCCACCCCTAAGTGTAACAATCGCACTTCTTTGGCAGGTGTCAAAAGGGATCTTGGTAGTTCCGTAATGTCGCAGTAATGCTTTTTGTCGCTGTATCAGGAGAGAAGCGGGGTAATCCCTTTGTACAGGGTTCGAGGGGGTTCCAAAGAATCGACCATCCTCAAAATCTGCACGAGGGGTTCACCCAAGATCATCGCCTCGGTCCTCTGAGCATTCCTACTGGTCAGATACATCGTTATTGCTATCGTTCTGGGTGGCGGGTAGTAAACACGTTGTCGTGCTAGCTTCGAGATCTCAGGGTCGTCTTCATCACTGCTGTTCGCATCATTCGTCGATGGCTTTCCGTCTGCGGATTCATCCCAGGAGATCATGCGGAGAGTCTTTGCCATCATCGGCGAAACCCGTGGGACTGCGTTGATGGTGGTACGAAGGGTTAGTCTCATAGGCACCGCATAGGGTTTTCCTCCTGTATTTCGGAGGATGATAGATCGTCGTTCGAAATCCAGGTTTGCTCGCAACGCTATAAGAGCAGGAAGTCCAAAAAGAACGTCGTACGTATTAACATCTAGTACTACGACATCCCCAAGCGCGTGCACTTTTCCCAATCGGAAAGCAACATTGGTCATTCTTCCCACAGGCTTGATCTTTTCTTCATCTGCCGAAACGAGCTGATCTTTCTCAGTGAGCATGATCGGATCGTTTTTCCTTCCCGCTCTCTCGACTACTCTCAACGAAATAGCCAAAACGGCCGCTCCTGAATCAATGATTGCATTATACGGAATTCCCCAAATTTCAATATCGCATTCTGCGAACTTCCACGGGATGGGTTTAATCCGTAGGAAATGGTCATCTTTCTGGATTAAACCTACCCGTATCGGATCCGAAGTGCCTGTTGGGTTTTCTTCGGGCGTGGGGCTTTTGGTTTTTACGTTCGGTGCTCGGGCGAGGGCGAATCGCTTTCGGTTTGCTTTGCGATGTTGTAGCATTCGCTCATTGGCTTGCTCGGAGATCGAGAGTAGATGACCGATCGGAAGTGGAATCCGATGGTCCAAGGCTCGAATGATGTTTAATACATCGATCTCTCATGTGACGAAGGTGGGTCCTCCCGATTCCATTTCTCCTAGAGACGGTCGCCACTTCGCCACCTCTTTCTATTCTGGCGCTGGTCTGATCGTTCAGATCATTCCAAGCCCGGGATAACCAAGTGATATGTACTGATCTAACGGGATTAGCTCGGCGGCTTCTTTTGTGGTGGCTAGGGCACTTCCCCCACCCTCTACCTCTTCCATCAGAGCTCCGACTCATCCTGGTCCGTTAGCGATGGGCGCCACGGTGATCGGCGCGGACCCGACACGTTGTTGCGGAGACCTGTGAGGGCAATCACGGGTTAGATGCCCAGGTTGATGACATGCATAACAGACGTTCAGATTGTTTGCGATTCCTCCAAGAGCGGGGGCCGGGGCTAACCCTTGCTGAATCGGAGGGGCACGCACGACAATGGGCCGCATGTTCCTCATCATGGCTTCCAACCGAGCATTTTGCTCTCGCTGCTCCTTTTTGCTTTCCTGAATTAGACTAACCAAGGTTTTGGTCAGCTCGAGTATGGCAATGGATTCATTCTATCGTACGGGAGCCTCGACTGGGGGCGGGGGTGCCGTTCTTACAGGCGTTGGCATTACAGGGACGGGGACACTCGGGATCTCACTTGGAATTGGTCGTTTAGGGGCTATCTGTTCTATGTAGGTGACGGGACCAGACACAACCCCCATGTTTTCGAATTTGTTTTGCAGCGCATCCAATTCGGCGTTTGCCCTTGCGAGTTCGGACGAATCTCCTTCCCTATAATAGTCCTTTCCTTCCAGGAAGTTCGCCGTGAACTTCCGTCCCATGTCTTCTGCAGTGTCCATGATTTGCTGTAATGTATGATTGATGGGGGAAAACTGCTTTTGTAGCTTCGCCCTTATTGTTCGGCTGCGGAGTCCGTCTATTAATATATCTCTCCCTACTTGCTCCCCTCGCTCAGTCTTTACAAACATTCGATAGAACCGGTTTCGATAGTCCGCAACGGACTCGAGAGGTTTTTGCACTCGATCCTTGATCATGTAAAGCGCTTGTTCTTGGTGAACGTAATCAAATCGGTTCAAAAAGTCTCGTTCGAAGGTCTGAAGATCTACCCACACATAGGTACTAAACCAGTGATGAGCGTCACCTCCCAATCGAGCGGGGATGTTTACCTGAGCTTCGTTATCGTCATATTGTTGTGCTCGGAGCGTAGCC